TTGTCCTACAGCTGTGTCTTTGTGAGAGTGGAATCTAACCTTCTGAAGACAACAACTAAAACCACCACCCTCTGTTTCATTTGAGAGAAGGAGAATAACTTGTTATGAAAGGGGGATTTAAAAAAAAATACAGTCACCTACACATAGGAATCTAAATTCATAATATGTCCAAAGAACGAGATGGGACATAATGTTTGTCCAGTTAGTATCTGCTATCATGATATTATGTCTTTGAATCCAGCAGGTCTTATGTATTTACACACTGTCCATTTCATTATAAAATACAACAATGCTCATTCCCTTTAATAAAACATGCAGTATCTAGACTACTAGCATGTTCCAGAAATAATGTGTAGTTTGGTGCAGGTGAAGATTACAGTTACATTCTGTCTGGATGGTGAAATCTGTGAGAAAGCAGTTGTGATGACAACCACATTTTCCAAAATGAAGATAATGACTCAGCACAGCTGCTTGGAAATAACTGAACTTTTGAGAACTTAACTGAAAAGGAGGACAGCAAACAAACGAATGATCCCAACAGGATTGAAAAGTATCTGCTGTCATCGTTTGTATGTTAAGACTTGAAAACACAATGTACATTTTATGTCATTCAAGTGCCAAGATTGTTTCTCTGTCAGATGTTCTCATAGCGGTTGGCTGTGAGGCTGCAGCTCTGAGACGAGGATCTAAAAAGGAGTTTTGTGACTCAATGATTCATAAGGCTGAATAATTCAATGGCTGGATGCATGTAGAGCACTCCGCCCCTGCTGAACTCGGTCCTCCACCGACTCAATGCAGACTTGCGTATGAACCTCTGCAAGACTGCTCCACACATTCTCACAATTAAGTGGGACTGTAGTCGACGGCCAAATGTAAGTTAATAACATATTAAAACATAGGTCGAAAATATTATTTTGCTGTGGCCGAGACGTCCACCTTTACATAACCAGAGTGAAAAATAAAGGAGGTGAAGAAGTGCCTCACCATAGAAAACTGGGTCAGATGCTCGAGTTGAAACAACATTTAATTTAGGTGTAATATGAGGCTGTCAAACAGATGTAATAGCAAACACACTGCAAAGTGTTAATTAAATCATGGTTGGTTTGAGCACATGAACACACACACATGAACACACACACACACACACACGCACACACACACGCACACACAAGCATGCACGCACACACACACACGCGCACACACACACACACATGCACGCCAAGCAGGTTCATGACCATCAGAGCCAGACCAGAAGATATGGAACATGTTGGAAGCTGTATACTTGAATATTCAATGATCCCAATTCAAATGCTTGAAATCAACAATGAAGGGGAAGAGACCTGACAAGCCCTGGTGCAAGGCTGTGGTTGTATGGGTCAGGGAAGAACCCATTGGATTTTTGTGCAGATCAGGATCAATCAGGAATATTCAGGGAACTGAAGTGTGTGAAATTTGGTGCAGGTTGGCTGAATTTAAGGGGACTGCTGGGCCTCGGCAGGGTCATTCTAGTTCTAGTAGTATGGTAATGGCAGACAGGCTGCACATATAACTTCAACACCGACCACTGCCAAGTATTTTTCTGGTGATTTCCAGTTAAATTGCATGATTCAACAGAAGGTATAAGGGTGCCTCCAGGACAAAATGACCAATGCATATGCAGTGAATCATAGAAGCTTTAAATGAGTGCACCAACGGGGAATTAGAATATGAATCCAAAACACTCATCATGGCTGGATGAACGTAATGCTGGGGGCAGCACCATGGCATCCAACAATGAAATGGGCATCACATCAGCTATGTATGTGTGTGTGTTGGAGGAGGGGGGAGTGTGAGTTTTATTATGGATGCTCACTGACCGAGACCAACAGCAGCCTCACAGATGGAGCACTAATAATCCCTGTGTATATGCAGCGGGTGTGTTTGGATGAACGTGCTGTATGTTTAGGCTCATGCTAAACTACATGTCTGTGAATATGGTGGATGTACCACAAGGAATTACACACAAAAAACCCATTGAATAGTTTCAATCTCCTGAAATATGCACGTCTAAATCTATTAACTCAGTCATAAATTGGGTAACATATGCATGATCTTCCCTGAACGTCTCTCATAGCTCTCCTGGCTCAGTGGAAGTTTTTTTTTTCCATATCTGAACTATCTGATACAGAACACAAACCTCAGTTGCAGTTCATCTTGTGAAGGCAAAAGAGATGCATCACTCTCCTCGTAGGTTTTCCTGACAAAGGGTTCCCCTGGAAAGAAAGTAAATGAGGGAGCATAAGAGAGATGGCGGTAACCTGTCCTGAGTTGTAAGTAGGCCAATGCTTTTTTCTTTCTGCTGAAATCTCTAGTGAGGATGAAGTCACTGCTTTATCAGCACTCAGAACTATGTTTTGCTCTTTTGCTTTTTTCATACTCCTTCCAGTACTTTAAGGTAAGTGATTTAAGTAGGTTTCCTATCTACTACCTCTCACTGTGAGTGCACATAAGGATCCAGGGACATTTTATTTTGTTGCATCGTCTCTGTATTTAGTAATTGTATTCTGTACATTTTTTCATATTTCATAAATGTCCTTAATTTACACAAAAATCCATATTCCTACATGATGATATTAATTATTTAATTAAAATCCAGTTGCTCTAGAAATGCTAAACACTTGACAATGAAAAATGGATCTTTAAAATTGGCCCTGCATTAATAAGACCTTTTTGAATGTTTTATCCACTTAACAAACTTCACTTTGGATGGATCAGAAACACCTCCTCCTCTCTGGATGATTTATTTTGAAGGTTTTGACAACTGACCTGAATGTGTTTACAATCACGGGCTGCCCCCCAGTGTTCAGAGGGAAGAACTGCAACATCTGCATTTACTGCACTCCGTGTTGTTGCTTGACCCTTTGAGTGTTTATGTCCCAAAGCTATGAGATCAACAGAGAAAAGAAGGCTTGTACTCTTCTTTAGTGCATGAAGGGCAGCACATAAATCTGTTCATTGTGGTCTTTTGATCTCACAGATAAGGATCAATATAATATGATGTCACCAACAAGTGACCATGAGTAAACCTGCCTGTCAACACCATCTGCAGGAAGAATTAGACTGGCAACACAAAACAAATCAAACCAAGCACATAAATCAGAATCGGCTTTACATGTGTACACATAGGCTGGAAGGAACTTGACTCCATTCATTCTAGCATTGCTCTCAAGTGTATGGACACACAGAGACATATACTTCTAGAGATTAGGGCAACAACAACTGAACATATGACTCAAAAAGTATATACCACATGAATATATACGGATGTGGGCCACTTGAGGCAATGATGCAGCACTCCAGGTCATCTTGTGACCCAGACAAAATGAATGAGCCCATTTGTGAAATAGCAAATGTGGCCCAAATATCCCAGGGAGAGTTCATCGAAAAATGAAAAAACACTCATTATCTACTCACCCCTATGCCGATGAAGGGGTGGGTGAAGTGTCTGAGATCCACAAAACACTTTAGGAGTTTTAGGGGAAAAAGGTGTTTCAGCCAAAGTGACCTCTTCTTCAGACGTAATAAAACAACATAAAAAAAACACAACATGCCTCCATGCTGCTCCTGTGGTGTCACTTAAGTGTCCTTAAGCCCAGACATTCATATTCAACTCGAAACGCGGTCATTTACACTGTGTTTTAGCCTAAAAGTCCATCACCAGGAGTGGCAATGCTAGCGGATGTAGGCATGTGAACGTGTGCCCTTGCAGGGTTTGTGCAGGTTTCCAGTGAGCAAGTGCATACATGAACCCGCCACCCAGGAGGATATCAGTGGACTTTTAGGCTAAAAACACGATGTAAATGATGTCGTTTGAGTCGGATATGAAGGTCGGGGCTTACGGACTCTTGGATGACACCACGGGAGCAGCATGGAGGCATGTTGGGTTTTTTTTCTGTTGTTTTATTATGTCTAAAGAAGAGTTCACACTTTAATTTGTATTGACTTTGTATTGGATTCGGCTGCAATGCTGTTTACCCCTGAAACTCCAAAAGTGTTATGTGGACTCAGACTTTTCACTCATCCCTCCATCGGCATAATGATGAATAGAAAATGAGTGCATTTTCATTTTTTGGTGAACTATCCCTCTAAAGGGGGGAGATTCTGCAGGGCGTTCCTGTATCTCCTCAGATTTATTGTCCCGAACACAAGAAAGACTGGTCTATCAGGTTTACCCACCCCCATTCTCACTGCCCTCTCCCTTTTGTGTTTGTTTTAATGTCCACGCCAGTGTGTAAGCTTCACCCACATTTGTTTCACCTCACACGCATTCCCTCAGCATTATGAATAAATGACTAATAGGCTTCATGCTCTGTGCTCTGGTCTTTGTGCTCAACAGAGAAAAGAAGGCTTGCTCTCTTCTTTAGTGCATGAAGGGCTGGAAGGCTGCACACGACAATACTATACAAACACATGTAGTGAAACACGGCTGATGGATTAGTGACAGCACATAAATCTGTTCATTGTGGTCTTTTGATCTCACAGATAAGGATCAATATAATATGATGTCACCAACAGGTGACCATGAGTAAACCTGCCTGTCAACACCATCTGCAGGAAGAATTAGACTGGAAACACAAAACAAATCAAACCAAGCACATAAATCAGAATTGGCTTTACCTGTGTACACATAGGCTGGAAGGAACTTGACTCCATTCATTCTAGCATTGCTCTCAGTGTATGGACACACAGAGACATATACTTCTAGAGATTAGGGCAACAACAACTGAACATATTTGTTGGGACACGCTGTTTGCTGTGGTTAACCTGTGGCCGGGTCAGGCAAACAGGAGCCGCTCGGGTGCCATCATTCGCCGAGGATGACGTGTGGGTCAGATCTGGGCTCGAACAATTTAACTCTGTGGCACACACGCACATTATTAAAACACTTATTACACATATATTCGAACAAATACGTTTCAAAGGCCTTTTTCTCTGATTCACGTAAGTCTAACGTTGGAGGACTACACCCCCCACAATGCATTGCGCATTCAACATGGCGCCTCCCGTAACCGTCTGACATATGTGAAAAAGACAACAACTGAGAGGAAGGTAAAAAAGTGTCGTGCAGCGAGTCGATCATATTTCACACAGGAGGATGAAACTGTTGTTGTCGGTGTTCACGCGTCTCCACAAACCTCCCGCTCTCACCGGCGCTCGGCTCAGCTCCGGTGCCCGCGGAGGCCCGGTAGCTGCCGGGGACGAGGCTCTGATCCGGGGCTCCAGCCCGGAGCTGGTGCGCGGTCTCGGCTCGCAGGTGGAGGTGAGGACGGCCTTCATCACCGAGGACGAGGAGGGGGCTCTGCTGAGGGAGCTGGAGCCTGAACTCCGGAAGAAACGATATGAATTCAACCACTGGGACGATGTGAGTTAGATCACACAAGCGCAGACAACACACGTCCCTCACTTGTTCACGTATAGATGCTTTATTCACTCATTACTAATCCCCAAGGAATCCAGACCAATAAACAGTGGCTGAGATTCCCGGAAGAAGTTTATTTGTTCAACACGTTTCAGCAGCAAAGAGTCTTGAACGTTAGCTAGTTCTTGAACTTCAAATATGTAGAAATAGCACCTTGTAGGTAGGTGGAATGAGGGAAACGGGGGTCGAACCATGAGCCTTCCAATTGGTGTAACATATACATATAATAAGAAATGAAAAAGTGAAAGTAACAGTGAATAATGAATAATAATGACATTTAGTAAAAGGCAGGAAAGTCTTAAGCCTTGACTTGAACCACTTCACCAATTTGCAAATTTACACCATCCAACGTACATCCTTTACAGCTGCCAGTGGCAAACAGGGAGACGTGAGTAGTTTGGCCAAGATGGGCTAACCCTAACTTGTGTAAACATCACAATTGGAGAAAGTTCTCCTGGCAGCCTGTCATAGTCCAGGCCTTTATACACTGCATTGAAAGGAAGTCATATACTTCACTGTTGCAAAGTAAGTGAGAGTGATGCCGACCTGCTTGCACATTTGTGCTTTGATCCCTTACCCACATTCAGGCTATTCACGGCTACCGGGAGACTGAGCGCGAGAGGTGGGGGGAAGCATGTGAGAAGGTCTTGAGTCGTGTCCGGTCCGTTGCGTTTTCGGAGGCTTGTTCGCTCCTCGGGCCCATGCACGTTCTGGATCTGGACAAGACTGGCTACATCAAGCCGCATGTCGACAGCGTCAAGGTAGATTTCTCTTTTCTTTCTCTGTATGTCCAGACCAGAAAACGGGCGATCACATATGTTTGGTTTTAAGATGGACAGAAAAGCTTTGATAAAACCTTCTGTGTGTGATATGCTATTATGCCAGCTTTGCACTAACTGCGTATTCTCAGTTTTGTGGCAGCACCATTGCTGGGTTGAGTCTTCTGTCGGACAGTATCATGCGTTTGGTGAGGGAGGATGCCAAAGGCCATTGGCTGGACCTTCTGTTGCCCCGACGCTCACTCTATATACTGAGGTTGAGTAAACTTTATACTAAATTTACAATGATATATTCGGATGTTATTCTGATATGAACTGTTTGAGTTCTTGAATACCACTTCTCATGTGCAGTAAATATAAGGTGCATGGCAGTTGTTTAATAATTTGAAATATACCTTTAAGAAGAGCATTGATGTTTATAATTCTGTTCTCTCGACATCCGTCCAGGGACCAGGCCCGATATGACTTCACCCATGAGATCCTGAAAGATGACGAGTCTGTGTTCAATGGAGAGAGAGTTCCTCGGCAGCGTCGCATCTCTGTCATCTGTCGAAACCTCCCGGACTGACGCACACACTGACTCGACGTGGACATTCAAAACAGAGCATAACTTGAATTTAAAGGAACTGTGTCACTGATCTCCATTTTTGAAGATATAACTAAAAGTCCTGTTCTAAAGTTTGCTCTGGAGTGAAGTGTTTATTTTTATATTATACTGAACTAACACACAGAGAGGTAAGTCACACACAAAGTTCTTTGCATCAAAGCCGCATAAAATCTGACTTTGTCTATAGATTTTGATCTTAAATAATAAAATGTAACACGCAGGTGAATGACAGCCTACCTAATGGATGATATTTAATTTATTGAAAGAGGTATATAAACTACATTTAAAAATCTTCAGGAAAAGTCACATGGGCCTATTTTTGCACCGATGATTTTTAATTTTTAAGTAAGTAACACATCTGATGAAAATATTAACTAACTTTTACTTTATGAGTTTCAAAGAAGCAATCCATCATACTATAATAAAAATACAAAAACCTATAGAGAAATAAAGCCAGCTGATAGTCACCTGTATCATATTAATGATAATGATATATTGTAATTCAAGATACCACCTGTACTGGACCTATGATTGTGCAAGAGACATACCTGCCCACATTGGATTGATAGGAGCTTCTCACCAATCATCTCTCAGTTGAAAACAATGGAGCATACTGTGTAAAACATTTTGAAAACACAGAGTTTCGGGAAGTGCAAGAGCTTGGCAAATGTCCACTCCCTTGACACCACAGATATGAGACTGCGTAATCAGGCAATACTGTGTCCAGAATTAGAAAATACATTTGATTGTTTAGGAACTAGCAGACCCATAGACTAAATGAACTGTAGGGGTTTAAAGTGTGACCACAGGAAAGCACACTTCAGAATATGAGATGACATCATGCACAGTTGTTGTATTGATGGATTCTGATTTTTCTCCTTGGCCAAGCTTCAATAAATATTTCAGCATAAGACGTCAAAGGGCTCCTGAAAACTTTCTTCACTGATGAGTTGACTGGCAGATTTAAGATTTTATCTTAGAGGCTTAGAGGGGAATCCAAAAATATGAAAACATTAATGGGGTTGCAGTATCTACCATATTTTAAGCTGCATATCCATTAACATCTGTTGTTAAAAGTTTTTCGTTTATTTTCACCATTTCAATGTGTGGAGCTTGGATCACATCTCTGTCTGGTCACTGTCATCACGGCTGTCCTTTGTGGGGATTTGTTTGTCCATGTTGCTGCTTAATGAAGCCATTAATGTTTGAATTGACTTTATACAAACTTTTAAACTTAATCATGTGTCACCTTCAGGATGAAATGTTCACTTGTGCTTTGTGCAACTGTCCACATGCATTAACCTTTGTTAGACATCAGTCTCATAAACCAGTAAAAGTCATCGTTTCATTTTCTCTGTTCAAAAAGGCACAGGGATGATGTGGGAGGAGTCAGAAATTGAGTCATTGGCTTAAAACCCTATTATTCAAGGTGATTCTGGAAGGGGGGGGGGCGTTAGAATAAACCAGTGAACAAAAGTTAAAAAAACGTGTTGGACAGGATGAAGGAGGCATTTTGTGCCTTTATTGATGCTCACTCTTTCTTCAGCTCTTGAACACACAGGTAAAGAACATGAAGTCATTTGAAATATTTATTTTGTCATATTATCATCTGCTTTTAGAGAGTACATGGATGTAGTACATTTATGTTGATCAGATTTATTTATTCATTCATTCATTTTTGTTGTTATTTTTTGCATCTTAGGTCTTTAGGTCTCTATGTCAAACGTCTGGACACAGGTCTCACTCTAATTTCATTTACTGTGAACTGTTTTTTGTGATAACCATGACCTTATTGCAGAGGTACAGAGCAAGGTTATTATAGTTTTTCATTTTCATTAGTTTTGATTTTTATTTAGTTTTTCATTTTGCTTTTTTATTTCAGTTTAGTTTTAGTTAGTTCAACAAGTGATTTTGTCGTTTTAGTTTAGTTTTTATTTTGAGGAATCGACTAGTTTCAGTTTAGTTTTTATTTAGTTTTAGTCTTAGTTTTTCCAGGTATTAAGAGAAAGCCTTGACTTGTAGAAGCTGAAAAAGGATGAAACAATGTGTGACACCAAATATGGTTTATCAAGTCCTTTAATTTCATTCTTTAACCATCACCTGCAGGACAGGCAGTAATCGAGGGAGAAAACGAAGCTGAATTTATCTGCAATTCAGTTTAGTTTTAGTTAGTTTTGCATTTAGTTTTCGTTTATTTTGTAATTGTTGTTTTTATTTTTATGTCAGTTAACTAAATAATTTTTTCATTGCTAGTTTTAGTTTAAGTCTCAGTTTTCGTTAACTATAATAACCGTGGTACAGAGTCGTCACAAACAGCCACCCTGTGTCTCATGGTCAGATAGTCTCTCATAGTGGGATCTGCAATGAGGAAATTTGGATTTACACTTTCCCCCTCTAAAGACAACCTTCAGAATTGAGTGGACTCCCACAGTTTAACTGGTATTGCTCATCACTTCTCTACTCCTCAGTCCCCTAAAGACAGCAAAGCTATAGACGATGGCCTCAGAGAGCAATGCACTGCCAAGACGTGTCCTCGTGACCGGTGCATCTGGGTTGATCGGCAAAGCCATCCAGCATGTGGTCCTAACAGAAGGTGGAAAACTTGACGGAGAGGAATGGTTCTTCATCTCTTCTAAAGATGCAGATCTTAGGTAAGTTGCTTCTTCTCACTTTCATCTTGTTTTTTTTTGGGAAGGGGGGGCCCTATCGCCCCCTATTGACCAGTCACCCCTCTTTAATGCACTCAGATATGTAGTGTATTATAAGTGTTGGCTATCAAGTGTACTGTATCATACTGTACGTATTAAAATACTAGTACCAGACATTCTCTTAATCAATCGAGCAAATAATCAGTGAAGCTTAAAGGCAGTTCTCAAACCTGTTATTGACTGAAAATAGTTGTGGTGTTTAAACTGTGTAAATGTGAACAGGGATGTTGGACAGACCAGGGCTGTGTTTGAGAAGCATCGTCCCACTGATGTCATCCACCTCGCTGCCAGAGTGGCAGGGCTCTTTTTTCTCTCGAAGGAGAACCTGCAGTTTCTGGTGAGATAATGTTGACGTGTTATACGACGACCAATTGTAGCGACCTCAGACACGAAGCTGGTGGACTTAAATGCACGACTCTGTGGCAGTAGTAAATATAACAAAAGACGCTCTCTAGGAGATATGAAAAGTAACGAATAAACGCTTACAAAACTGACAACCGAAAAAGACCATAAACTTGATAAAGACCATAAACTTGACTTGACAGTGATACTCCAATAAACACTCATGGACTTAACAGGAGGAATTGGCACAGGACAAAGGGAGACAAGGACTCTTTATACATGAGGTAGGGGAAAACAGGTGAAACCAATCAGGGGCAGGGAAGATGATCACAAAGGTGGGAACATCACACAAAGGGAGGAGGTCAGGGGCTGAAACGAGAGGGAAAAGGTGAGTACAAAATAAAACACAACAAGACTAGACATGAGTGAAGTTTAACTTAACATAGAGTGCTCAAAACACACAAGACTAAACATGAACTAAACTAAGGCATGGCATAACTCTAAACATGAACATGAATAAAATTAACTTAATTGACGAGACACAACACCAATCCCATTTGTCAAATAGTGCAACTGTTGCAGCAGAGTCTTTTCTTTTTACCTTACTGTAAAAGTGTGGTCTATGGCAAATATCTACATTCTCTTGTGATGGTCGGTCACTGACAGTCTGACACCTTCACAGAGGGACAACGTAAAGATTGATGACAATGTACTGCACACGGCCCATCAGATGGACGTCACCAAGGTCGTGTCTTGCCTGTCAAGTTGTATCTTCCCTGACAAAACTACATATCCCATCGACGAGACCATGGTGAGCTTCTTTTAAGACGCTTTAGTTGCCCTGTGTAGCTCCTGCTGTTGTCTTATTGTAGGAGAAACGCAGCCACGTTGTTTGGTGCAGATTTTAAAGAACCTAACAAACTTGTGTAATGTGATTCTCTACTCTCCAAGATACACAATGGGCCACCTCATGAATCCAACTTTGGATACGCATATGCTAAAAGAATGATTGACATTCAAAACAGGTAAGAAGCTTTGCTGTACAAACAGTAGTGTGTGTTCTGAACATGTATGTAACATGTAAATCCAGCTGAGGATGTGCCTGTTCTGACAAGAGATTCTTTTGCTCATTCTGTGGTGCTGCCTCCGAGCTGAAACATGACAACTGCGCTGTTCAAAATGTCTGTTTAACTGCAGGTGCACATTGACCTGAGATTACTGCTCCCTTTTCAGACCAGTTAAATTTATGACATGTTTGTTCTGAAGCTGGAAGCTTCAACTGAAAATATGTCTGACTCTTTGTTGGCGTGTGTGTGCGTGTGTGTTGACAGGGCATACTTTCGGCAGCATGGACGCTGTTACACATCGGTTGTCCCGACCAATGTGTTTGGGCCCCATGACAACTTCACTGCAGAAAATGGCCACGTGCTCTCAGCCGTCATTGGCAAGACATACAAAGCCAAACGTGAGAAACTCGCATCCACTGATCAGTCCTGATTCACACACACAGACTGCAAGCAGGGAATAACACATCACAGACTACAAGCAGGGAATAACACTTCACAGACTACAAGCAGGTGAAAGAGTGGATTTTCTCCTCTGTCTCCTACAGTGGAAGGAACTCAGGTGAATGTGTGTGGCACTGGAAATCCTCGGAGGCAGTTTACCTATTCTCTGGTAAAGTATCTGTGTGCTGGAACCTGCCATGTGAAGGAACAGTACATGTTTTAAATGTCAACTTAGAAAATAACACAATGAACACACTATAACATGAATACGAAAGTTCCATTGTTTGTGTTTATTCTCAGGACCTGGCTCGTATAATGGTTTGGGTCATGAGAGAATATAAAGAGATTGACCCTCTTATCATCTCTGGTGAGTACAGCGCTGCGCTCACCCTTCATAATGTGCACATTGTAAATATCTTGTGTGATACACCGCAAGTGGGAATTTAGTTAATAGTTCAAAACATAGAGATATGTGACACTGTTCATTAATTTTCCACTGTTGGTTTTATTTCAGTGGAGGAGGAGATGGCCATCAAAGAGGCTGTGGAGGTGATAGCAGAGTCTTTGGACTTCAAAGGCAACATACATGTATCCTTAAAACATTAACATCCAGTGATTCACCTCCGTCCCTTTGAGCTGGTTTCATTACGACATGACTCCACTTATTTTCTGTTGTTAAAATTATTTGAATGAACAAAATATTATTGTCGTGGAGCCAGGTTATACTGTAACCACAATTATCATCTGGGTTCCCCTTGACTCTTCACATCAGTATGACACCACCATGTCCGATGGTCAGATAAGGAAGACGGCCACCACTGCCAAGCTGAGACGCTACCTCCCTGACTTCACCTTCACACCCGTTAAAGAAGGTCAGAGTCCATTGCGCTGTGCATCTTACTGATGAAATATTTATGCATTCTGCTTAATGCTTAGTGCTGTGAGGCAGCAGAAGAAATCCACTGGCACATGTTCTACCTAAAGGTTCAGTGTGTAAGATTTAGTGACATCTAGTAGTGAAGTTGCATGTTGCAGCTGAATACTCCTCATCTCACCCTCCCCTTCCAAACATGACAGAGAACCTGTGGTAACTTTCAGTTGTCATAAAAACTCAAAAGGTGTTTAGTGTGGGCTACTGTAAAAAACATGGCGGCCTCTGTAGAAGTATTTAAATATAAAGGGCCCATTCTAGGGTAATGAAAACAATTCTTACAATTTAGATGATTACACATTGGTAAAAACTTCACTAGGATTATTTTATATAACATTTTCACCAATAGATCCCTTTCACCTAAATCTTACACACAAGACCTTTAAGACAACTTAAGTGATGTGGCAGGGCAGTTAACAATCACTAAAAGGCAGGTTTGAGAGAATGTTTTGTCCTCAGCCCAGTGACGCTATCCTGTCTTTGTTTCTGTCTTTCTAGCTATAAAGATGACCTGCGACTGGTTCGTGGCCAACTACGACATTGCCAATAAATGACGCGTCCAAATATTAAGTTGAGAGTTAACCACCACATCTATTCACTCTTCATAATGTTGGTTTACACACTGTCACAAGTAATCTTGTACATATTCTCCAGTGTATCAAACACTCATTAACTCTGGATGGCAACACATTTCTTAAATATCTAATTAATATCTAATCAGCTTTATTACACATACAAGGAATTTCCGTTGCTCTCAACTTACGAAAAAAAATTATTTGCATAAGGGGAATTTTTGATCTTTATGAAAATTAGGGGTGGGTGATATAATCTATATAACCTTTAAATCATTCTACTCTTATTTTGGATTTTTTATGGTGACAATGCATACAAAATCATACAGCCTTCCAAAATTTAAAGGGATACTTAATATTGTCATACCAATTTTGTTGGCAATTGTTTCATTTAAAGAAAGCAAAAAGGCCTGGCCTACATGTGTTTGCAGAAGTTAATTAAGCTGTATTTTAATCAATTTTGTGTCACTGTAATCATGTGAGTCGTTCTCAGAATCAGCCATGTTGTTGTTTGGATCTGTGAATGAACCATTGTGGAGAAACCTGGATCTACGCAATAAAGAATAAAAAAAATACAAAAATGCTGTTTGGATTTAATGTTGAACAAACTATAAGTATCAGAACACAGAACACATAACCAGTATTATCAGATACTGCATGTAAAAACATGTAAATGAATATTTACATATGGAACCGAGAGACGGAAGCTCCAGATATGGTCAGGGTGAGGCAATGCAAGGCAATTTTACTTGTAAAGGTCAGGTTCAAAGGTTCCTTCTCACGTTTGGCAGCTGCTGCCTTAAAAACACAAATCCTGTTTTTTCTTCATTCGTATTCACAGAGATTTGTAAGCTTATTTCCATGCAACCTTCTCCATTAAGTCACAATTTTACAAGACAAATGGACATGACAGTGAAAGCTTGCACTCCTGAGGTGCTTCACTATTTGCATTCATGGTAAATACAACAGGTTTGATTCCACCGAGCTCATATACTGTGTTCTTATATTTTTTCCACCTTCGACAGACTATGACACATGACTGTCCAGCCTATGCAAAAACTCATTTACACCCACTGAGAAACAGTGACTTCAACAGCAAAATCGAATTTTGTGCCTCACACAGGCTCAAATCAAAGTGTCATTCTATAAGAAAATAATTTAGGTCATGATAAATTGGTCCGAAGCAAGTTTACTGTGTGCATCAGGTTTTTGTTATTTAGTTTGACAAATTCAGTGTGAAGTTTGAAGACTGAAGTTTCTCCCCGTCCGAGGGGAATCCATTAGTATTGTAAACATGTTCAACAAAACGTAATGTAACACAAGATAACACAACACAAATAACACATTACACAAAATGATACAACACAAATTAACTTAACATTACTAAACAATATAACGTGACATAACACAACTCTGCTCTCTGCCTGTATTCAAACATGTCATCTCTAGTACTTTTTAAGTTGCACAGATTGCAGTGCAGTGAGCGCTCTCCCCTCTTCATTTCCTGACGTGAGCTTTGTTGTACTTAAAGCTTTTCTATTGCAAGTAAGTGCATTTGCATTGTCTTTTGCACTGGTGCCAAACCTTGTAAAAACAATTTTGCTGCAGTGCAAATTGCTAAAATCTACATAGAGGTAGCTTTCACAGTGATAAGTGCTGTTTGACTGAGAGGGACCTGCCACGATGAACTGCTGCACCTTCATACTTCTCTTTGGTAAGTTTATTCATGTTTTCTATGCAGATAATTAAGATGAACTAGATTTTCCACTTGAATTTGTCATTGTGATCTGATCTTTGTCTAAGTCTCCAGGAAAGACGTACACAATGTGTTTAAGATTATAACACACAAGCCATTGTAATTTGTGTGTTGTGCGACTCTTTACCATGGTGGTGGAAAAAGTAAGCGAGCCTGGTGGAAAAATATATCTTGAGTTTGTTACACTGCTTCTCTACTGGTTTAATGTCTTTTCTCTGACGGGGCCACATCAAAAAAACTGATTTCCTTTGTTTAAAGTCATTTTCATTGTCTGTTGAACTTCAGCTGGTAGAGAGTCTCCCTGACTTTGTCCTGTAAGATACACTGGTAAACTTGAGAACTAATTTATCCCTCGATGATAAAGTTTGCTCCATTTTCTTGTTAACAGCCAATTTAAAATGCCTGAGTGTCTTTTAGTTATTCATTTGACTTGACTGCAGGTTTTCTACATTCTGATTCCAGTAAAGTTTTGTTCATGCTCGGGATTCATATTGTTTTTTTCACCAACATGAATACCATATTCAATATGAATAAAAACAATGCATTTGTGAGTTATAATCTACATTTTTGACAATACGGCACATTTGAAAGATTCATATAAAAATACAGGTCATTCCAAAAGGTTTACTCTAATCTTAATGTTCTTGATATTTTCTCAGGACCTTTTTCAGTTTTTCTTCTGACATATAAAAATCAGTTTTAGTACATTTAAAGGTATGGTGTACTTTTTAAACATTATTTTGAACCACAAAATGATTTTATAATGTGCAATATGTTGTTGTAGCCTAACACATGCTGTTGGAGTTGATGTTATCTTCTTAATCATCATAATTTATGTCATAGCCATCTATTGATTTTCCTTTGTTAGATTATCAGACAGACATTCTTCTGTTTAATAGTTGGACATGGACAAATGCAAATGCATCATGTATTTGATATATGTTGAGAAGTTCACTTTTTGAAACCACTGACATCAGTTTACAGAAACACCTGTGTCCTCTTTGTCTTTGTTACTTCACAGGTTCACTCCTCACCCTCGGCCACTGTGCTTTTCCCATTGGTATGGCTGATATTTAAATTGTAAACATCAGATTCTGGCTATGGGTGAAATAACAGTCATTTTTGTGTATGTTATTTTTAACACTCCTACATTCACGTATTTGCTGTTTCTCATAGGTTCTTGTGATGGATACCAGAACATAACTGACCCATGGCGCAATCTATTATTTAAATCAAGCTCCTTCTCTGGCTACCCACACGACGATGTTGAACTTGTCAATAAGTGGTGGCGCTTCACAGGGATTGGTGGAGACAGAGTCATTAATACATGCAACACTGGCACTGCGGGTGGGGCCCAATATTCTGCTCATGTTTCATTTGCATATCCAACAACTGAATCTGGAACTTCAAGTGGGACTGCATATGCCGACGTTGGAGCCTGCAATTATTATTCTTTCACCATGAATGTGGTGCTCTGTCCTGGAGGATTCTACATCTACAAACCAGACAGTCACCCATATAGCAATATGGGATATGTTACCTGTAAGAAATGATTACTCATGGCCATTCTCTGCTTTATATTGACCCATGTGCAGCTTGCTGCTGTTAAGGAGACCTACCTTTCCCCATCAATATAATTACTGTGTGTTTTGTGTGCATGTGTGTGTGTGTTGACTCTATTTAGATCATTACCAGTGTAACCCAGACTCCTGCGGAACACTTGCTAAGTGCGATTCTGGGGGGGGTTGTTCTTGCGTACTTGGGTATGAGATTCCTCCTCAACACCTTCCCACTGGAGATTCGTACGGTTGTGTTGGTAAGTGCATTTTATTCAATTTATACTGGAGGGCATGTACTACACTTCCCATCTGAAACCCCCGTCTGCAACATCTCTCGGCAGACATAGATGAGTGTGTGAAGACTGCAGGAATTTGTGGTCCATCCTCCACTTCCACTTGTACCAACAAGCTTGGTTCATATTTGTGTACCTGTGTGAAAGGATACACTGCCACAAATACAACATTTCCACCTGGAAATACCAATGAATGCATAGGTACGAGACTGTCTTACCACCTGTCTCAAATGAGAGCTTCTTTCTCTTGAGCTGCTGCGGCATCGTTGTCTTATGCAAGTTTTTTTTCTTTATAGATATTGACGAGTGTCTTGAAAACATCTGTGGAGAACATGGGACCTGTGACAACAAACCAGGAACTTTTGAGTGTAAATGCCACAAAGGCTACAAAGTTGTACTGGAAGCAAATCCAATATGCAAAGGTCTGTTTATTGTAACTTAACCGTGCATTAAAGACGGGTTGATTATGTTCTCTAAGCTTGTATTTGTAATATTTAAACTAATGAATTGAATCTGTGAGTTACCATCTTAAGTTGTTGTTGGAATGCTGTGTGCTAAAACAATCACCAGGCAGATTTGGCCTTGTCAGCTGGACAGGGACACATCAGAAACTGTTTGAAAACGATTGATCAATCAGTCTTTTCTTGACCAAACACTCTAATATAATACTTGAACTTAGATGCCCATCTGTTCAGCACTTAAGCCCCTTTTCAACTGGTCAAAAAACCCACTATAACCCACTGACATCTGGATTTTGTCTGCAATGGGACTGGATACAATCACCAATTACTCCTAGACCAAATGACTCTGCAGTAGACAAAGGTTTTTATCGGCTCAGATTAGCAGTTATAGAAATTGGCAAGACAGCAACGTTAGAAAACTGAGCGCCTCAGTTTTTGGGGCATTTGTGATGTCAAATATGATGCACTGGGGAAAAAACAGAAAGGCAAACAAAAAAGGCAATAGACAAGGAACCAAATTTATTTTCTTAGCTTGTGTACTCGTGTTTAAAAAAACCCTGCATATACCATCTATTTTTGGTGTAAAAGAGGTATTCGATAGGAAGAAGCTTCAAGGTCAGCAAAAATTTCGACTGAAAAAACATTTTTATCTCTGCACACAATATTGCTAGTGAGAGAATCTTTCTCTTTTAGTTGTTGTTGGTGAATTCATATTGCAGTGCTTTTGTTTCGGAGAAAATCCACATCATAGACATGACTCTTTTTCCAACTGTGTTAACCGTTCCCTCATCAGATGTTGACGAATGTTTCAACTCCACCATCTGTGGCCCTGAGTCTATTTGCACCAACACACCTGGCTCTCATGTCTGCACGTGTCAACCTGGCTATGCACCAACTCAACCAGAGCACCAGCCCAACATGACCAACATCTGTATCGGTATTTGGAGTCCGCTGGAAAAATTATAAAATCAGCTGTCAGCTTTTTCGTGGTTGTAACACAAGTCAAGAGTTGTACATGAAATTGTGTGTTTGGTTGTTTGATTTGTATTTGGCAGATGTTGACGAGTGTGTCCAATACACTGCCATCTGTGGTCCATATTCCAACTGCTCAAACACCATCGGATCTCATCTCTGTGCCTGCTTCAGTGGTTTTCGGCTTAACAACCCCAGTGTAATAGCCAGCAAATCTAACCCATGCACAGGTGTGTATGTGTGCACACTATAGACCTATGCGACATATGATTTTAGTATCATGATATTACTTTCATGTGTATGTTTTCTCTCTCTATAGATATAGATGAGTGCAGTGAGACACCAGGAATATGTGGAAGACAAACTATATGCACTAATGTACCTGGAACCTTCTATTGCTCTTGTCCAGAAGGATTCTACCCATCCACAGGAATTGTTTGGACACTGGGTATTTCATTTTGTCAAAGTAAGCTTTGTAAGGATTCGGTTGAAGCTCTTGCAACATTTTGATATGTCCTGATGTGGTGACGGACCATTTTTTTCATTTTGATTTTCTTCTGCACCAACTCAACAGGTATTCAGCAGATTCTAGATGAGATACAAGTCCCAGAGGTAAATGTGACAGCAAAGTGACATCGTCATAAAAATAACAATCTTACATTCAGCGAAAATACGTGTGTGTGAACTAATACAGAATACAATGAAAAAATCTGTATTTGGAGTCTGTCCGAATCCAATTTATGGGTCATTGCTTGTGGATAGATCAAAAATACCATGAGACGAGTTAGTTAGCCTGACTAACAACTCATTAGTGAATAGTGATAATGGCCCTTTTGTGTTGTTATCATTCAGTATGGTGGATTTAAATTTAAAGATAAAGTCATGCACCACACACAGATGCTCTAAACCATCACACAGTTGGGATATTATGTTGAATCATATGCGCAAATGTTCAAATCTTTTGTCAAAATTCAGTCATTATGATTACTGTGCGTGAACTGTGAACTCTGCTTGTAACATTAAAGATGACCCTTTTTGTATCGCCTGCAGGGACAGACCAAAGAGAGAGCTTTTCTTGGCAATATGGAGCAACAACTGAAAGAAAATTCAGGCCGGGTCTTACCAGGACCGGTAAGTGGAAAACGTTGTGATATTTTCTTCATAGAAACGTTTAAAAAGACAAGATTTTATCTACTTAGTTTAAATTGGTTTCATCAATGATGTAATATGTAACAATTTTTCATCAAAATGTCTAAAAACGACCAAACTTATGATGATAATCATCAAAAACAACAATGTTGGAACAAGTTCAAACCGAGGCCAAACTTACATATTGTATGTTTAAGATATGGTCCTGGTCACTGTAGTTTCCTGAGGAGCTAGCTTCCCATGAGATAACCTGTAAATTAATTTAACTGCATTTTAGGTTTTGCTAATGTTGTCTGAATAACACTGCAAAGCGCATTTACCTTATGCTCCCCCCTCTCTCTTGTGTTCCCTCTGCAGACTGTGGCAAACAGCTTCTCAGCATCTATGGTACATGTTCAACAAATAATGTCTTTTTTTGTTTTTTATTCTAATTTGGGATGACAACATCAGCCAGCTGAGTCATTTCTCACAAATATTTGATTTGTTAAAGGAGGTGTCAGGTGTTGGACAACGTGCCAGGTCATTCACAGTGAGCAGTGAAGGCGATGGGGAGACTGGCAGTATGATCCTGGGCATCTCAGACCGCTTAGTGACGGGTATGGTGATTCCAGGTCAGAACCAATCCAAAACCACCGTGAGGAGCTCAACACTGGGTAAGATCAACTCATCTGACTTGACTGCAGACACTTGCTGTGTGTGTACTCAGAGGAATTCAATTCAAGCTGTTGTAACTTTAATGTGTGTGTTAGATTTAAGTCTTGAAACTATTGGACCCGGAAACAGCAATGGAGAGAACTCTCTTCTCTCAGCTAATGGAAACACCATGCAGATCAACCTTGAAGGACTCGCCAAAAACAACAATGGTGAGTGAATGTGCACAGTTAAAAAGGCTGGAGATACTTACCAAAGTATACATACACCAACAATGTTGCAGCCACAGATACTACACCTTGTTGTTCCACCTTTTGCAATGAAAATGTACAGACTGTCAATTATATGTTATGAATAGGGTGAATTCAGGTTATCTGCAATTTTAACTTATTCTGATATCTGTTTTACACATTACATCAACATTTTATACCTTTTCTGCAATCCATCACATGCTATGCTAATGCTAACTTATAGTAAAAGTCCTGTAGACTAGATTTTGCTGGAACAGGAAACAAACAGACTGAATCTTAGGATTACTTTTTAAAGTTGATCTTGTAGTATTTGGAGTATTTGGAATATAAGTGGTATGTGTAAGTGTTGATATGACCACTGTGTTTGAATTCCCAGACTCTGCAGCGGCTGCCTTCATGACGCTACAGGGGATGGAGAGTCTCCTCAGTCATCAATACTTCAAAACAGAAAACAGGACAGAGATGTACTCTGACGTTATCACTGCCATCCTACCCTTAATGAACAACACCAACCTCACAGAGCCCGTCAATTTTACCATCTATCACAAGAAGGTACTCTCCGGCTCAGAAATACTTCTGAAGTCCACAACTTTAGCGTCACAAAAAAGAAAACAATCTAGAAATCTCTGTTTGTTCCAGCAGGCAGTGCGTGAGTCTGGTTTGGTAACCTGTGTGTACTGGGAGGACAAAACACAGGAGACGAGGTCTATACAGTGGTCAGTCGAGGGCTGTTGGGCTGCATACACTAACGAAAACTACACAGTGTGCAGCTGCTCCCATCTCTCCACATTTGCTCTCATCCTGCAGATCGCAGAGGTATTTTATCGATAAGCCTGTGAATGTGTATTCTCGAATATGTGCTCCCACACCCAATATTCCTTTCATCACATCATATGTTGGCCTGTACATCGTGTGCTTTCAGCCTCCACCAGAGGATGATTTCTTAGAGTGGCTGAACCGGCTGTGTGTGATTGTCGGACTGTTCTTCTTTGCGCTCGCCATCCTCACCTTCCTGTTGTGCAGCTGGAACCCCAAGATCAACAACACCGCCCGTCTTCACCTCTGTCTCAGCCTCGCCTTATCTCATCTCCTGCTGCTGTGGAACGACAGATACGTTAAACAGGAGGTACAGTAAGATTCAGAAGCAGATTGTTTCCACTGCAAAGGAGGTTGTGTTTGCTGGTTTGGCAATTTGTCAGTGGAATTACACAAAAAGTTCTGAACAGATGCGTGGATGGACCTGGGACCAAAGGGCGGTTAAAGGGTTAAAAGGTGCAGATCCAGCATTTGGATGTGAACCTACAAAACAAACAAAGGATGGTGACAACAAAGGTAACAAACTGTGTTTCCAGAAGCAATTTATTAATTCTGAGTTTCCCTCTTTCCTGTTTCCCCAGCTGGCCTGCACTGTCATGGCCGGCCTGCTCCACTTCTTAATTGTTGCAAGTTTTGTGTGGATGCTGCTGGAGGCACTGCAGCTCTACCTGCTGGTCCGGAGGCTCTCTAAGGTGCAGGTCATCCAGAGAGATGGCCTCCCCAGGCCACTTCTCTACCTGATCGGCTACGGTGTTCCATTTGTCATTGTGGGTGTTTCTGCACTTGTGTATTCTGATGGATATGGTGCTACTAAGGCAGAGGTGTGAGTAGCATGAACAGTGATACACACATTGATCGACTGTGCGGTTGTGATTAGTGTTTTGTATTTTAAAATGGATTGTTTGTTGTATGTTGTGTAATGTGTGTCGTGCAGGTGCTGGCTGTCGCAGGAACGCCACTTCAATTGGGCTTTGACAGGGCCAGTGATCACTGTACTTTTAGTGAGTCTACTGTCTATGTGTTTTAATATAAGCAGCTGCAGTGAAGCATCATTGGCCTCCTCCAAACTCATTCTCAATGTTTTCCCCCTGTTAGTTTAACTGCATCTTGTTCTGTGCTACTTTATGGAGTCTAAGACCCACCTTGGCCAACATGAAGAGTGATGTCTCTCAGTCTAAAGATACAAGGTGAGTGGAAGTTTGTTTTTTTCTCTCATGCAAAAGTCTTATTTGTAAAGCCCAAATTCACGAATCACAGTTTGTCTCATACGGCTTAGCAAGGTGCGACATCCTCTGCCCTTAACTCCTCAGCAAGAATGAGGAAAAACTACCAAAACAAAAAAAAACTTTTACCAAGAGGGAAAAATAAAACATAGAAACCTCAGGGTGAACAACCTGTGGGGGATTCCTCTCCCAGGACAGACAGAAGTGCAGTGCAGCACATCAAAAAAATAACAGCATTTATCCCTGAGAAAAGACAGTGTTTAACATAAATGGAGGGGTGTATGTATGTCTATGTTTATACAAAAGTGTGACGGAGATAAAGGGAGCAGCAATCATACAACCAGCTCGGCCAGTTGAACTAAATGGACCCATTATGGAATCTAACTCTGGATTAACTCTCTTAACTGTGCAATATTCATTCTGTCAATACAATGGTTCATGTGCAATCCATTCACTGTACATATTCTCACACTGTACATATTGTTCTTGTATTTACACTGTATGTATTAGTTTATATTGCATTCATATTTTTTAAATTTCCTTACACTCTGTACTCTACATTACTGATGCCTACTTCTGACTCTTGCTGCTGTAATATTGCAAATTTCCTTATTGTGGGACTAATAAAGGATTATCTTATCTTGTCTTATCTTATAGAGGTATTGCCAGTAAGTGTAGTATATGAGAGTAGACATATATACTTATAATCCACGATCAGCTGCCGCCATGATCACGATCCATCATTAGTCATCAAAACTGACTTTTTAAAAATACATTGTTGGAGTAGTTGCCAAACACCCTGCGCTCACTTTGTATTTGTTTTGCTCGCAGATTGATTGTGTTCAAGATCCTGGCTCAGTTTGTCATCCTGGGCTGCACCTGGATTCTGGGCCTGTACCAGTCAAATCTTTTCTTTCAGGTCCTCTTCATACTCCTTAACTCCCAGCAGGGCACCTTCCTCTTCATCGTCCACTGCCTGCTCAATAAGGAGGTAACATCACTCTCTGTTCCTGTCAATCTGATGTGTGTCATAAGCTGCCATCACTAACAATGGCAGCAATTAGAACAGCCTGCCTTCCTTTCACTTGCATGAACACACGACTCTGAACAGGTTGTATTTCATTGTTTTTTCTAGGTGAGGGAGGAATACATAAAATGGCTGACTTGTTCTTTCAATAAACCCAGAGAAGCAGGATCTGTGGTGAGCTTTATTCTGGATTATGTCCAAGGCACCACACAAAATGTCTCTTAGTGAATCTATAATCTGTACGATGTTGCATGGATGTTGCCTCTATGTTGACGAGGTATAAATGATATATTTCAACAGAAAGATGCTCCTTCAGTGTCCGAGGACTTTGACAAGACTCAAGAATAAAGAGGCTAATGGAGATTTAACAGGTTTGATACAAAGAAGATGGAAGACAAATGCAAACCTTATATTTTTGTGTGTTGGTTATTGGAAGATTTACCTAATACCTGCAATAACTGTAGTGTCATTGATCATCGTCCTTGCTCCTTTTACACAACAGCTTTTAGGACAAGTAGAGAATCAAACATCAGTAATATACTTATAAAGTAAGATCAGAATAAATGGTCTGGATGTGTACAATGAATCAGAACCTTCTAGTTAGCAGTGTGATGGTTCTTGCGTGACAGGCACACAGTATTTTTGTGAGCTGGTTTGTATATTTCGTGTGCTTTGTCTATGGTCTTTCTCTGAGTCCATAATAAACTTCTGCTGCAGTAGAGCTGTCTCAGTTTGTTTCGTTAAAATAGCCAGAAAAAAATACAACTCAAGCTCAAGCAAGCGCACACCTTCTGCACAGCTGTACATGTGGTGTGCTTCCTGCCATTCAGAGCCTGGAAGCTGGGAAGTTGTACAACAAATACACTTAAAAACTGTAAAACTATATTCACTGTTGGGTTTTCACGTTATGTATCAGACACTGACTCATAATAAAGGGTTCAATTCGGTTTATTTTAGCCGTCCCTCATTTGGGTTAGGGAGCTTTACCAAACACGTCACCGCCCGCACCCTCAGATAGTCACCGTCAAAAAAGAAACACATTTTGCACAAAGTAAAAACAATCACGCCTCTGTTGTTTCTTCATCGCCCCATTTGTATTGTGTTTACATGAGAGCTGGAGTACCTTGAGGTGTGTCAAACTTTACAAGACAAATTCAAGGGACAGGAAAGCCAAGTGTATTCTCTGTCATTTACATCATATTTACATCTTGCACTTACTCAGAATACACACAAACACATGTTATATGAATAGATTGGTGATGGAGTGTGAGGATAAGTCAAATTTCTTTAAGTGTCACGTGTCTCCATCAGACAAAGTAATGTATCTAATACTGAACAAAATCTGCCTATTTATCATTGTTGGTAGGCAACAATATTGTGCACTTCACATTTGGCTGCTTCCCTTTCAAATATTTATTATTTCCTTGGGATAAAAATCAGTTTACTTTAAAACTTTTCTACGAATAATCTACATGAATCAATATAACTGTGGCAGTCACATCACATGGCCTCTAGGGGACAGAGGTTGTCTGTCTTATCCTCTCAAAGGATAATTAGCTCTGACCAGTTACTCTGCACAACCACAGTGGAGTGACTGGGTTTACAGATCATGCAACCTGCTGAAATCCAGTATAGAATAATTTCCTCTTTTCCCATCTTACCCAACTAACACCTCAAACTGCACTTAACTGAGACAGAGTCTTACAACTGATGGTACGGCCCACAGAGCCCTGACATCAATGTCATGGACACATTGTGGGAGTACACTGTTGTTCTTTACAGAGTAAAGCAGCCTCCTGTCTTATCTCTAAAGAAGTGAATCATTAACAGAGCCGAGATTTAAAATTCAAATCCATAACTTGACACATTTACTGATATTGGTGCAGTTCTCCCTAGTGACTACTAGATGGTAGCAACGGACCATATTTTACTGGTTTCTGTGAAAGGCTTTGGGTTCAACATTTTCATTTTTTGATGACATTTAAACTGGGAACTGTGCAATGATTTTTTCATAAACTTGTGTGTGATCTTTGGTTGGTTGGTTTTTGCCAATTTCTTATGAATCTGTTGTTATGGTTGTTGCTATGGATGCTTCCCTCACTGTCACTCACACGTGGGGTGACCACAGTTTCAAACTCCCGAACCTGGACCTCTGAGTGTACCGCATGTATGTACACGCTCATGCACCCACCAGGGGTGCGTTTCATGTGACTATGTTGCTGTAGTAGTTTCATGATCCTGCCTTCAGCTCTGTCCAGGCACGAGGCCTCTGGTGACACAGCATTGCTCTCTTCACAACCAGTCATTTTGTTTCTCAAACACTGATTCACTAACATACAAATCAGCTTTCTCAAATGTTCCTGTAAATACTGCAGCATAGAAAAAGACTTCAGAGAAGCAGTCAGTTGGTGAACCACCTAATTCAACACGTGACAACATTACAAGTGACAGATGGACAACTGTGCTTTAGTTGCCTGACAGCACATATATCATGTCTCTTAATTCTATGTTTCTCCTAATTTTGCAGTATCCCATGTTTTTCTGTGGTTGTTTTAGCACTGCTGCTAATTCCACCAGGATCTGGTTCAGGCTTCATACATAAGCAATGCCTATATTCCTCCACTGTTTGCCAAATGATCTCAGAGCATCTCTAACAATCTACAGACCGGCAAATTAGTTACATAAATCCAGAATGTGTGCATCTCTGCCGAGCTGGAGCAGCGAGAGGCAATAATGTTAATGGATTGGGAGTGGAGTTGTGCAAGCAAACAATGTCAAGACAGATATTAAAGTCTGTACAAATGTGAGAGGCACTCATGCTCACACTGCTCTGACATGGTATCCAAGCTACAGCTGCCTACGAAGGAGGGAGAGAGAAAGGAGAAGAGAGAAAAAAGTGCTGCTCAGGGTTAGCTTCAGTGTCTCTGCTTCTCTTTCCTCCCATTGCTCCTCTTCTCAATACTATCACTTGGTTACCATGGAAACACACTTGCAGCGCTGGAGTCGTGAGGCCAGACGGCTGAGATGAGGGTCTGGCAAACAGTCCTGTGATTCCGGGCGGAATATGTTGGACGCATGTCAGAGTTTGTCAAATTGTGTCGACATCAGACAAAGGTCATAGGTGCCAGGGAGGTGGGAGGACCCGGGATGGAGCTGAGACAGCAGCTGTGACAACTTTAAACTTTTTTTTATTGTGCAAGACAGGGAACATAAATAAGATAACCCAAGCAACTGACTGCAGCCCAACCTGATTATATACAGACATAAAGGGAAAAGAGATAATCTATAGGTATAATGAAACATAATTCCCCATAATTATGAGTCAAACTGGTGGAATTTGATGGTATATTGTACTTCACAGTAGAGCAGTCATTTTCCTGCCTGTTATCATCATTATCGTCAGAGGATAAGCCTTTATTAATTGTACCCATTGTCTATACGATGAGGCAAAGCCCTTTGGAGACTCAAAAAGCAGTACAGCTAATGTGTGGAGGCGTGACTGTGTATGAAGTTAAATGTAATATATGAAACATTATCCTGTGAGAGAATCAATGCAAAAACCTTTGGTTTACTGTTACATGCAGATCAGAGCTGCTCTTTAAACCAAGTTAATTTAGAGTAGGTGGGTGCATGAGCCATCTCTCATTTGCCAACTGGAATTACAGGCAAAGACTGATGTGAATTATTCTGATTAATATACTGATGCTCGTGATTTGATGCTCTGTATGTACAGTGTGTTTCCCCCTGTTAGGCCCAGTCTTTAGTTTAAAAAGTAAATCAAGATGCTTGATAGTGAGACTGAGGCTAAAACCAGCAGACTCTAAAGATAACTCTGAAACATCAGGGTATAAAACGGCTGCAATTTTAGCTCTTAAACGTGGGAAATGATAGTGGAACAAAGTCGTGCAGACCTAGACCCACCCAGAAAAGCCTGCATGGATCAGGACACTGCCACAGCAGAAGCATTGAGCTTTAAAATGGAGAAAACACATGAGGAGTGTAAAAAACAAATCAAATGAAACAAATCAAGTAAAAAGAAAGCAAAGAGTGAATCTATACAGGTTCCTCTTTTCCAGGATTTCTGTAAAAGAGAAGCGACTAAAAACTGCTGCTCTGTAACTACTGCAGCAGAGTGCATACCTCCACCATGTCCCCTTAAACTCAATCAAGCTGCACCAAATTGCACACACTCAGAGATTTCACTTAAATGTGCCTGAGCTTTTTCCATCAAGATCCATGAGATGTTCTTTGGTAAAATGGTGGAAATGTCCAATCCACCCCAAAACTAAATGGTTCCTCTCCGAACCATCAAATTTCATGGGCAAGCCGCTATTTTTTTTGCTTTAACGTGCTTACAAACATACAAACCAACCAACCAACCAACAAACAAACAAACAGACAGGGGTGAAAACATAACCTCCCAAATAGACATAATGTTTTTTTTTGCATGATGACAACCTGTCTTCTCTTCACAGTAATGGTTACCCTCACAAGTGGGGATCCAAAATGAAAGTCCTTGGCAGTAACTTGAGAATATAAGAGCAGCTATTTATTGTTTGGCTGTCAAGAAAAGTGTCATTTGTATCAAAGTGGCTTTGCTTGTGAGAGTGAATATAGAAAAAATATGTGAATAGACAGCTGGAAGAGGCTGCTGTGAGGATGCAAGCAGACAGGACGGCCGCTTCTGGTCCCATCAGACAATCCGCACCAGGCTGAAAACTGGCACTTTCTGGTTAGAAATAAAAAGTGACGCCTCTGAAATATGAGCTATTTTCCTAAGCTTCATAATGGCCCCAAGGCAGACAGGGTCTGTCAGTGACCAATCACTCTGCCCTTGTGTCTGCCCAATGCAGGAATCTCAATTGAGCCGGAGAGACATGATGTTTGGTAAAGATATTCTGATCAATTGCTGTGACCTAACTAGAAGCAAACTTACTGCATGACAAATATTTATGTGTTTTAGTATCTGATGAATCCTCAGAGTCGTGGCTCTATAACTAACCAGCCGTCCTAAAATAAAGTCAGGCTTGTTTTCTACACAGGCTGTTTATATATATATATATATCTATATATATATATATACAGTCAGTTTCTGTATAGTCAAAATATATATAATTTATATTGTATATTAACAAACAATGATCACTTCCTTCTCTTCACAGTATCTTTTTCCAAATCAGCTCTCCCCCCCCCCACCCCCCCACCCCCAACTCAGCTCTTGCACA